TTTCAACACACCAACTGTTCTCAGGAACCTTAAAGAGATTTGCTTTAAACATTTCCATTTTGAGCAAATGGAAGATGAAAAATAGGTGCAATTACTCTCCACTGGACTTTGTAGAGTTGGGTTTTAATATTTTGTCACACTTTAAATTCCAATATCAGAAGAAGCGATTTACAAAAGCCTACTTCAGACTTATATGAAAGATCAATTGGAGACCTTTAAACACAAACTAAGGCCTTTTCAAATCCAATACTGTGTTGATCCTCACCATGACATCCTGGAGATGAAACAGCCAAAGAACTGCTGGGCCAAAGCTTGGGCCAGACAGCGGCGGGTCAGCGGGGTCTGGTCTATGATCATAGCGCTGTGGAGCAGGTTGGTACTAAAAACAGAGCCGACAACTCAAGGTCAGACACAGTGAGATGAATAAACCCACCAAGATCGGTAACCGATCCGCACTCAATGTAATGCTTACCTAAAGATGCTCATGGAAGCATAGGAGGACACTTGCACATAGGCCTCGTCCACAAACACCGTCTTGAAGCAGGCGTAAGGGTAGCGGCATGTCAGAATCTCCTCGTAGAACTCAAAGATCTCATGCAGGTACGACATGGAGTGTTTGAGCAGTGGCAGCAGCTGTGGCAGGCAGAAGTGTGTCACCTGCGAGAGGATGATGTAAAATATATCTAAACGGGGCATTCTTAAATGGTCCGAACAAGCAAGAGCAAAGAGTTGAACCCCAATGGCTGCACTTATTGTTAGAAACGAACAGCGTTAGAAACTAGCTCTATGCTGAGCACACTGGTACAGTGCCTGTACTTACTACCAGCAAATTACACAGAGTGTCCATACACTAGGCACTGAATTTGGTTCATCTCAAACACTTCTGATTGTTTGGTGACATCTAGTGGTCGCTGTGCAGATTCACCATAGCATTTTTTTCTAACTTAAGATGTGTATGTTTATGCAACAACAGTTGCGTGACGTGTTGTCAGCCACCTTGTGTCATTTTCTCCAGGGCGATGCCAATCAATATTTCCAGCTACATAACAGTGGTGTTAACATTTCTGTGATGTGCAGATATTTGTACACTTTACATGTTTGCATTAGGTACTAATACAGTGATCTAAATCACTTGATTCATTACAATCCGAAACTACCCAGAACATTTAAAGGACGTGTGACACCTGTGAGCCTTCATACACATACATCACTTGTTCACTGCAGACCCACCTCATGCATGTAGGGATCAACCAGGATTTCAAAGGGCCCCACTGCCAGGGAGATGTTGGGGGCCGCGGTAGGGATGGGGAGGACATAGTGGAAAGTCTTCTTCCTCATGTCATGGGTGTAGATAGTCTCGACCAGGTCTCCACACGACACAGCCACCATTGAAGCATCCACGGTGAACTCCAGCTTCCACGTGCACAGCTCTGAGTAGGAGTCCACACACGGGAACCAGAATCTGGAGACGACATTATGATGAGCTTTGAGCGCATGCTCGGAAATAAATCCACCAACCGGCTTCTATTATGGGCTTCGATGGTAGACACAACCGTCAATTATTAAACGAGACAGAGGTCAAGATTGTAGGTCCAAACTGTCCAAAGAGAAAGGCAGGGAAGATACGGAGCACAGAGTGGTTGCATTACACACTGCAGGGATTTATTATAATGTAAATAAAGACATGTCGTGATTTGACTGTCATGATTAAAAACTGCTTCTAGACCTGGTGGAGTTCTGGTATCCAAAGGAGAACACATGAGCGCCTCTCTCTGCCATGCTGCCTTCCACATCAGGCACAACGAAGTGGAGACCTCCTTTCGGCTGGTCCAGGGAAAACTCTATGTACACCTTTAAGACTTTCAAATCTGGAGAGACAAAAACACAGATATTTCTATGTATCATTTCCTTTTCGGTTAACAATCTCAAATCATTTTAATTTGGCCTTTAATTTCTTATAAAAAACCTGGTAGGCGACAGTATGTTATATGTGTGTTTGTTTGGCAAAAGTAAAACGTCAGAATTCTGTTTTGCTTTTTTACCAGGTAACTGATCCAAAACTAGGGTAGTTTTTTCACTTACCATCTCCTTGTTTCCAGAGTTCAGAAGGAACTTTGATGACCAGCTCCCCGTGTCCTGCATCGGGGTCTACAGCACTCACTGCTGCTGTGTAGGCGCTGGAGAAATAGTTGAGATTCCTCCTACGGAGACACACAAAAAATGTGCGCATTTATTATAGAATAATTCAAACACACCAGAGGTTTTCCATTTAACTTTAACCATGCAGCGTTGCATTAGAAGAGACAATGATAGTAATATTGGCCAGTGTGAGGCCATGTTTCTGACTCCTATTCATTACAATCTGACCCAACACACATGGAAGCCATTGCCCATAGTCGGATTTAAACTGACCACTAATATGATCCTGAACATAACCCGTTTAGGAGGCAGCGTCATTCGTTTTGAGGAGCTATGATAGATAACCTATAGTTTATTCACAGGTAAGAGAAATTGGAGAAGGATAAAATGATTTCCAAAGATAATACGACAGTTGGTCAATGGATTCCAATGAAAAGTAGGAACCCTATTGAACCCTACGAAACGAATTACAAGCCATTGTATTCATAACTCGGGCACAATACGAGCACTGAAACGTGCACCGACATACTCACTGCTTGGACTCGTGGTGGCACACCTCCAGGGTGGGGTCGTTGTAAATGAATGGGGCTTCGAGTTCATTGACTCGGACCCTGTAGATGCGGCACTGTTTACTGTTAAGCTTGATCCTGTTCAGGTTGACCACTGTGGGGAAGATGGTCAGCTCAACAAAGCCCTAAAGGAGGCAAGAGAGCGGGACAAGCGCTGTCCATGTGAACCAAACAAATCCTCCAACATGTACCGCATGAAAGGGTTTGTTCACCCCAAAAGTGTTCCAACACACAGTATCTGCGCTGGTTTTCTCACAGCAGCAAAGTCTCTCCATGAACCGGAAGTAATAGGAACCTACACAATATATAACCAATACAAATTCTGAATATATAGACTATACTTAACAAAAAGAGTAACAAGTTTGTAATAGTCATTTCTGTAGTTGCAGTTATATTGGAATGAGTGTTAACAGAAGTAGCATTAGGTTTGACACAAGGAGGGAAGACTACATCTTCAAGCAGTTATGTCTCACAAACAGCCTTAATATTACACGTTATTATTAATAACTTCTGTACTCACAATGACAGACTTCCTCTGGAAGTTGATGTTGTTGATGCACACCACCTGGTGGGTCGTAAAAGCAACAAAAGAAAAACAATGTCAAAATGTGCTGTGAACTCTACCAGATATCACATTTCAAATCAACAAGCACAGAAGAGTTTGTACTTAAAGTAACTTAGCGCCAAACAACGCGTCCATTTAACGGCACTGCAAATCATTTCAACACTTTACAACGAATACTTATAATTTAAAGGGGCGAGGGCTCTCAAATCCCTTATCCTTCTTCCTGTTCATCCTCGGTGCTTGTTGTTGCTTCTTTACTCCAGTTTCAACATGGCAGAAGTCTGCTTCCCTCCCAGCAGCGCGTCGGACACACGTTCATTTGCCAGTTCAAGACTCAGCAAAAAAGTTCATAGCAAAAGGCAGCGAAACGAATGTAAAGCGAAAAACAACAATACACGTTAGCGATGCTTGACTTTTACGGTATAACAATGCATCCACCGGCACTCAACCGACGTCAGTCTAATTCCTGCTTTATACAACGTTACTGACTGTTTCACCCGGAGGTTGCTCGGCGGTGTTTTTGTTGCCGACACAATGGACGCTTCCGTAAATATAAGTCAGGCATTACTTGCTCTCGGCATTGTATTCATACGAAACGAAATGAAATGATAATGTCCAGATAATGATTGCTGCAGTCGGTGGGGATCACAAATCATCCAAATATCCCGTCACTATCCGGCTGCTGATGGAATTGTGTTCGCGGATCCTCCGTGTGCAGCCATTTTGTTGGTAACCTTTGACCTCCCGCGTAAAATGAAAAACAACAAATATGTATTTTTTTATATTGACAGAATCAACGGCCTTAATCTACAGCAAACCAATAATAATAGATGATTGTAATTGTTTCTAAAAAAGAAAAGAAAATGTATGAACTGTATAAATGAGGGCGGGGCGTAACCTGCCTGCCCACCGACACGCGTACGAGCTTCGCGGAAGCGCGCACAATGCAGCTTCGCGTAGCGACGGCGAGAGACGGAGCTCTGCCATGGCGACGCTACAAACAATGTCTAAAGCACAACTAAAACACGACCCCACGGTTATATTTCGATTCTAACACTGTTTAATAATCTATTTTCGGCCTGGCTTGTTGCTTTTACTTTTTTAGATTTTATTTATTCACAGATTGCTACAAATACTATTCGTGTTAGTTTTTATGTAATTGGTAAAAAATATGGCCAACAAAGATGACGGCACATGTGTGTTCAGCCTATTATGTTGCAGAAGCATTAATGATTAAAGATGGGAAAAAACAAATTGATAAATGATATCAAATGATATACATGATTGATATAATGATATTTAGGATATTAGCATAAGAAGGGGTCATAATATCAACTTTGAGATTCTGACATACAGGACTCAACGCAACGCTGTATTTAATGGCATAAAGGAGTCAGATAAGTGCACTATGTGTAAAGAGACAACTCAGAGATGTACAAAGTCCGTTAGGACGGAAGTGGAGTTGGGAAGTTCTGACTGCGGACGAAGAATGATGCGAGAACTTCAGGGCACCGCTGAGATTTCTTAAAGAAAAAGGAGTAAAAAAAAGGATGTTGTCCTTGTTTGCAGGTGTTGTTTATTATTTTTAATTATAAGAGTGATGAAACCGTTACCATGAAACTGCACCCTCCGGTACAGTAGGTGGCGGTATGCGCCTGTTTAAAAATAGTTGCGACCCGCCGATCAAATATAAAGAAGAAGAAGAAGAAGAAGAAGAAGAAGAAGAAGTCGGAACTTTGTAGTGTAACATCCGGTCGTTGCTCGGTGTAGCCGGTAATTGTTTCATCGGTAACCAAGCAACAATGTCTTCGGTTGAGTGTTTGAGAGAGTTCGTCAACGAGCGACTATCTGCTGCTGCTGAAGAAATATTCGGAGTTTTTAAAAGAACTGTCGTCGAGTACCAGGAAGAGATCGACCGGCAGCGCAGAATGTTGGATGTTTTTTGGAAACCCGAAGTGAAGTTACACAGGATAAGTGAGTACAACTTTAGAAACTGTTGTCTAGTACAGCGGTTCCCAAACTCAAGAATGCCGCGGCCCACTTTGAAATCTGAAAATCTTTAATGAAAACATAATGATTAAATGACATTAAGAATTTAACCAAAATCAAACATCCGCGAGCAAAAGTCCATCTCGCGCGAGGTATTTGCTCGCTTGCGAAACGTGAACTTCGTTGCTCGGGAGGAGAATCTCTGCTCGCGCTCGAACGAGTTTTCTACGCGTTCGCTGTGGTTCTTTTTGACAGTAAGGTGGAGACGGTGCTTTCAGGGTCCCATCGATGCTGCGAGGTGCGTCCGCTCCCGCCGCCCCCTCGCCATCCACGCCTTAAATCTTCGGCTGCTTTTAGAATAACTTATTTTCCCCGTTAAGATGGTTCAGCTACTGTAGAGAAAAGGACGCCGTCTCTCGCTCTTTAATCTCATGAAGTGCTCGGCGAGAACGACAGCTTTGTTTCTCCGACGCGCCCTGAAACAAGCTCATATCTCACGCGCTTGAGCGCCGCTCAGCATCTCGCCGTCGTAGACGAGCTTTGGCATGTTTGGCAGAGCGCCTTGAGCGCCGTGTACAAGCAGTATGGATCAACCGATTAACCAATGGATGCATATATATAAGGCGCTCCGGATTGTAAGGCACTGTCGTTTTTTGAGAAAATTAAAGCCTTTTAAGTGCGCCTTGGAGTGCGGAAAATGCGGTATATTTACTTTAATACTACAAGAGGGCGCCCCGTTCGTTGAACAACGACAGGCGGACAAGAGCAGCCGTTTCGAGCGAGAGCCTTATTGTTTTATTAATCTGTTCGGTTAAATTGTTTGTGCTTCATCAACTAATGTTTCACATAACTAATGTGCCGCATCAAAAATATTTTTATATTAATTTCAAACTTTTAAAAATTGAAAATTAAAAAACTATTTATTGTAAATGACCTCTCGCGGCCGACCTGCAGTACCTTGCCGCGGCCCACACTTTGGGAATTGCTGGTCTAGTAGAACAGCAGGACACACGATGGTTGTGGTTTGTAAACACTCGTATTTATTCGCTCAAACGTTAGTTTTTCCATTTCTTTTGTTCCGTGTCCCCGCAGAGCTCCCACAGCCACGTGTGTGTACGGAGGAGGAGGTTCTCTGTGACCAGCAGCTCTGTCTCCAGGAGAGGAACCCCAGTGTGGACCAAGAGGACCCAGATCCTCCACAGATTAAAGAGGAACAGGAGGAACTCTGCAGCAGTCAGGAGGGAGAGCAGCTTGAACCGAAGCAGGAGACCTTCATGTTGACTCCTACTTGTGAGGAAAGAGACCACGGTGAAGACCAACTTCTGGATTTGTGTACTGACGAAACACAGACTGTGGTACAGGAAACATCTCTAGGCTACATTTCAGTTGAAAGCGCCGCTGTAGTTGAACCAAGCAATGACCACCAGCTTCTCTCTCACAACTCTCATGAATCTGATGGCAAAGATCAGAAAAGAGTAGAATGTAGTTTAACATCAAGCAAGGAGCAAACTCCTCCAGGTGAGAAGCCACTTTTATGCAAAACATGTGGGAAATACTTTAAACATAAAAATAGCTTGTTGTCCCACGTGAAAAGAGCTCACAGTGTTGATCAACCATATGTATGCAACACCTGTGGGAGAAGATTCGTTCATGAATCTGTATTTAAGACTCATAAAAGAGTTCATAGTGATGAGAAGGCATTTTCTTGCAAAACATGTGGGAAAACATTCAAATTTAGTAGTAGCTTAAAAGTCCACATGGAAAGTCACACTGGGGAGAAGCCATATTCCTGCAACACATGTGGGAAAACATTCAGAGACAAATCACATTTAAAGCTTCATACAAGGATCCACACTGGGGAGAAGCCATATTCCTGCAACACATGTGGGAAAACATTCACTCAGTCATCACATTTGAAGTCTCATACAAGAACCCACTCCAATGAGAATCCATATTCCTGTACAATGTACACACTGGGGAGAAGCCATATTCCTGCAACACATATGGGAAAACATTCACTCAGTCATCACATTTGAAGTATCATACAAGAACCCACTCCAATGAGAAGCCATATTCCTGTACAATGTGGAAAAAGAGGTTTCTGGAGTTCTAATAACTTATTTGTCCACATGAAAAGAACACACAAGGGTGAAATGTCATAGATGCAACTCCTGTGAGGAACTATTCTGATCAATTTTTAAGATTAGAAAGGCTGAAGCTTTCTATTAGAACGGAACATGAATGCTGCATCTGCAGAACAAGAAAAGTGCAGATTCATCAAATAAGTTAATTTACAACCTGCTACAGATAGGAGCCATTATAAGTAGAATTCAAGTGCTACATTTGTTTTGTGTCTTTTAGTCAAAGTATAGTATGAAGAGCTGTGTCTTTAGTTTGATGTAAAGACTCTGCGCTCCTGGTGTGTATTTCAGTAATCTCTTCTGACAGGCATAACCGTCAGCCGAAACCCGACTGGATGAGCGTTCACTCATTAAATGAATACTTGCGGTTAAAGAATTTACCGTTATTCCCCAAATCTTTAAAACAATTTTTGTTGCACATTAGGTGAACATATCCTGCAAATGTTTCCCATGTTTGATAAATATATTCATCTAAAAAAAATAAAATCAATCTTGGAAATTCTTTTGCAAATTAAATTGATTCATCTGTTAAACTGATAAACCCTTAAGTGATGTCTAACAGATTTCATATGCTGAGCGGTCATCTTATCTCAGCTGACATGTCACACACCCAATTTATTGTAAAAACGATACATACATAGTCTTGTTTTGTCGAAAAACCCCTTCTTGTGTATGGGATTGGGATTGAACATTTAACAATTTTTCCACAGAACCCTCTCCTGTCGGACCATTGTCTGAAAACCTTTGAATTTCTACTATCGGAACCACCTCCTCCTGCCAAGGGTTTCTACAGTCGACGCTTATCGAATACCGCTGTAGCCTCATTTAAAGAAGCCATTCCTTCTGCTCTAAGTTCAGTGCCCTGCCCCGAGATACAAGAAGACTCCTGTGTGAACCTCAGTCCGTCCCAGATCGATAATTTTGTCAATACTGCTACAGGCTCTTTGAGAGTGGCGCTGGACGCTATTGCTCTTCTGGAAAGAAGAATAGCAACAAGAAGGAAGTCTGCTCCGTGGTATAACCCACAAACACGGAACCTAAAGCAAACTGTGCGGAAACCTGAACGATTATGGCGTTCCACCAAATCAGAAGGATCTAGGCTAGTTTGGCAAGACAGCCTTAAAACATATAAGAAGGCTCTCCGTAACGCAAGAGCATCTTATTACTCATCATTACTAGAGAAAAATAAAAACAACTCCAGTTTTCTCTTCAGCACTGTAGCCAGGCTGACAAAGAGTCACAGCTCTGTCGAGCCGTGTAATCCTTTGGACCTCACTAGTAACGACTTCATGAACTTCTTCAATTATAAGATTCTGACTATCAAAGAGAAAATTGATGGTCTCCTGCCTTCAACCAGTGCCGACCTGTCCTCCGATGTAGGAACCTTGGATGGAGCAGTGGGCCCTTATGCCTGTTTGGATGTCTTCTCTTCCATCAACCTTGATCAACTGATGTCTTTATTTCTAAGTCTAAATCTTCTACTTGTCTCTTGGATCCGATTCCGACCAAGCTGCTTAAGGAAGTTTTTCCTTTAGTTAGCACGTCCTTATTAGATATTATGAATCTGTCTTTGTTGACAGGACATGTACCACAGTCCTTCAAGGTAGCTGTAATTAAACCTCTTCTTAAGAAACCTACTCTTGCTCCAGAGGTGTTGGCTAACTACAGACCTATCTCTAATCTTCCCTTCCTCTCTAAGATCCTTGAGAAATCCGTCGCAAATCAATTATGTGACTTTCTACAAAACAATGCTTTGTTCGAGGATTTCCAGTCAGGATTTCGAACGCATCATAGTACAAAAACAGCACTGGTGAAAATGACGAATGATCTTCTACTTGCATCGGACCAAGGACTCATCTCTTTTCTTGTCTTGCTGGACCTCAGTGCCGCATTTGATACCATACACAATTATATCCTATTGCAGAGACTAGAACATTTTATTGGTATCAAAGGAACTGCACTCAGCTGGTTTAAATCCTACTTATCGGATCGATCACAGTTTGTGCTTGTAAACGGAGAATCCTCAAAGACCACCAAAGTTGGTCACGGAGTCCCACAAGGTTCTGTACTTGGACCGATTTTATTTACCCTCTATATGCCTCCTCTGGGCGATCTTATCAGGAAACACCGCATAAACTTCCATTGTTATGCAGATGATACTCAACTGTATCTGTCGATCAAGCCAGAAGAGACAAACCAGCTTGTTAGACTTCAAGAATGTCTTGGAGACGTCAAAACTTGGATGACCGGCAACTTCCTGATGCTAAACTCCGAAAAACGGAAGTTATCCTGATAGCCCCAGAGCGCCTCCGAAGCCAGCTGTCACGTGATACACTTTTTGTGGATAGAATTGCTCTGGTACCCAGCAGCACCGTCAGGAATCTGGGAGTTCTCTTCGACCAGGGTATGACCTTCAACTCGCATATAAAGAGGACTTCAAGGACTGCCTATTTTCATCTACGTAACATATCAAAAATCAGGAACTTCCTGTGTCAAAGTGATGCAGAAAAATTAGTTCATGCATTTGTCACTTCCAGACTGGACTACTGTAATTCTTTGTTATCAGGCTGCTCTTGTAAATCTCTTAAACCTCTCCAGCCTCTCCAGTTAATATACGGGTGCAGAACACAAATAAACACAGCCGGAGGTAACATGCTTTTCTGTGAACAACTCGCATGCCTCCCCTGCTTTGTTACAGAAGGAAAGTTGGAGAGACATGCTGAAGCGAGAGATCATGAAAGATGTGAAATCCCAGATGCAAGGACTCGCCCAAGAATTAATGAAGGAAATTAAACCACTCCTTATACCAGTCAATGCTCCCCCACAGCCCCTGACACAACATAGGGAGTGGTCGCGACCGGTGTCCGGTGTTAATGACTGGGATGAACAAGGTAGGCCAATTCGTCGCCAATGTAGACAAGCGGGACATATAGCCAGGTATTGTAGGAGGCCTGCTGCTTCCCAGTCGGCTTTAAACTAGCTGTCCCTGCTGCTGAGGTCCAAGGGGCAGGGGTTGCTAATGCACTACACGACTCAAGGGCCACGGAAGCCTTTATTGGGCAATGCCCAACTATAGGAGTAACGATTGAAGGGGTTGAGTTGCAAGGACTCTTGTATACGGGGTCTCAGGTTACATTAATGCAGCAGAGTTTATTTGAGCAGCATTTTTCAAAGCTAAGTTTGGGAAGACCCCTGTAGTTTTCCAGTTAAGGGCAGCCAACGGCCTGGAAATCCCATACACTAGCTACGCAGTGTTTGATCTGGAAGTGGAAGGCATCTCGCCAAAATATCCGAGTCCCACCAAAGAGTGAGCTGCTGGTGTGGGGCCGTGCTCGGATGGTCCCGGGAGGAACGGACTACTGTGCCCTGATGGAAGCACTACCTGAAACCAACAATGTTGGCGTAGCTAGGACACTAGCAGTGGTAAGAAATGGGAGAATCCCTGTTCGTGTCTGTAACCCATATCCCTACACCTTGTCAATAGGGCGGAACCAGAAATTGGGTAAGCTGTACCACGTTGATGAAGCTGATGTGCATGGATCTCGTGACCTTACCCTATCTCTGAAAGACAATTGTGTTGTTGAAGTGGCTTCGGTAGATGCAACAGGCAACCACAAGGGACAGGAGCTGCCTGAAGAGGTAAAGAACCTGACTAACCGACCTGATCTCTCTAAAACAGCAACAGGAGGAGCTATGCACCCTGCTGCTCAAGTGGAAGGACGCGTTTGCTAACCATGATGAAGACTTTGGTCGGACAGACCTGGTACAACACCGTATCCATACGGGTGATGCAGCGCCCATCAGAGAAAGGTACCGACCTCTTCCGCCTCTGATGTATAAGGAAATGAAAAACCTACTTGCAGAAATGCTTGAAGGGGGTAATCAGAGAACGTTGTAGCCCATGGGCTGCGCCCATAGTTCTGGTGAAGGACGGTAACTGGAGGTTCTGTATGGACTATAGGAAATTCTATAATAGAAGACTACAAGATGAAAACAAAGTATTGTGCCGTAAGGTTACTGATCAGCACACCCATGAAGTATGCTTCCAGGTGGTGTGTCCAAGCTCAAGGTGTGAAGAGGTCTGGAAAAAGGTCCATGAAGCTGCTGCCCATGCTGGTGTGGATCGGACCCTGGCCCGGATACGACAGCATTTCTATTGGCCTGACGTGGAGCAAGAGGTACGCCATTTCCATTTGGGTTGTGTTGCCTGCAGCCTCCAGAAGAAAAGAGTAGAGCCTAGGGCCCCTCTTAACCCGATAGCTGTGTCATACCCTCTTGAAGTTATGGGGCTAGACTTCTTGTCCTTAGGTCGGCCAACAGACCGTATTCAAAATATCCTTGTTGCCACAGATTTATTTACACGCTACTCTTGGGCCATCCCCACACATGCCCAAACGGCTCAGACAACAGTAAAAGCTCTGTGGACTCATGTAATACAGCCTTTTGGCTGTCCAGCTCGGTTCCATTCTGACCGGGATCAAATTTTGAGTCGGCATTGATGAAACGGCTCTGTGATACTTATGGTATAACTAAAAGCCGCACAACGCCGTACCATCCTGCAGGAAACGGTGGGGCAGAACGCTTCAACCAGACCTTGTTAAACATGCTCCGCTCTCTAGAAATAGAAGCAAAACCGTTGGCCAGAATACTTGCTTGAGTTGGTACATGCTTAAAATAATACAATATACAGTGCAACCAGCTACACTCCCTCCTTATGTTTGGGAGGCATCTGAGGCTTCCTGTGCATGTGGGACTTGGTGTCGGTCCCCAGCAACTACGCCATGACATTGTTGGTTGGATACTAGACCACCAACAGAGACTTTCACTAGCGTAACGTATAGCTAGACAGAAAATGGATAACGCAGCCTCCAAAAGCAAACAACACTGACAAAAGAGCTGAAGCTATGCCACTCTTACCCGGAGAGAGAGTATGAGTACGCAACAAAATCGACGAGGTCAAGGAAAATTGTGTACTTGGTGGGACCCTGAACAATTTGTTATTTAACTAGTGGGCAGTACAGGGTTGGTGTATAGGATAAAACCTGAGAATTGTGGTTTCTGTAAATTATTGGTTTATTATATTTTAGCATAGTTTGGTCTTACATTTTAGTGTGGTTTGTTTTATTACATTTTAGCGTGGTTTGTTATATATTATTACATTTTCACATATTAACCCACCTTTCAGTAAACTACATGCACCTGGAGGGACTAATCAATTACAGAGAGCCCTGGCCAACCACATTACACAATGAAAGGACCTCCCCTTTCCAATTAACACAGCTGCTATGGCATGAAAGCGGAAGCCACAGGAAGGTGAAGCCACGGGCAGGAGAAGCCACGGGAAATCAAGCGAGAGGACGGCAAGACAGCGGACGAGCAGGCAGGGTGCAACGAGGAGAGGAACGAGACGGACTGGACACCTCACCCAGGAAAGGAACGGAACCGGAAACAAGAAGAAAGGGCAAGACTGATCAGCAGCAGTGGCTGGTCGAATTCTTAATCTTTTTTAGTACTTTGTTCCAGCTGGACTTTTAATACAAT